CGGTGTGAACTGGCTGAGCCTGGGAACTGGTTTCATTCTGGGAACATTCTTGTTAAGGGGTGTAGCTAATAAACCTTGCTGGATTGATTCTGCATGGTCTCCTGGAGTTACTTGGGCTAGGCCTGACATGTGCTTTCCTTTTCCCCACTCCCCTACCCTTTGGAATGCTTCCCCCCCACCCCCACAGTGCTGGGATAGCCAGTTAGAAACTGACAAGACTAATCAGTTTCACACCTTTGGCTTTTGTTTGCCTCCTAAACATCCCTGCCCTTTGGAATGCTCACCTGGTCTCTGGGATACTTAGCAAGAAGGGAATTAATGTTTGTATTTACATCCATTGGAGAGGAAGGGATTACAAGCAGGCACACAGTGGGGAATATACATCAAAAACAATGCATTGGAACTGGTAGCCGCAAGTACACTCGGCAAATAGCCGGCATATTCCCCATTGTGTGCCTGCTTACTCTCTTGAAATCCCTTCTCCAATCTCTCCACTCTGTGACTGGTGTGTGTGTGTGTGTGGACGGGTGAGACACAGGAGAAATTGCCTATAGAAATCACTTTTTTTCACTTTTCTTTTTCTGTCCACCCCCCAGCTAAAAAGATTTTGGCTGTATATATAAACTCCTAATTTATGTATGAATATATCTTCTTATAATCAAGGGCAAGTGGTTTACAGAGAATAGCTGTTAGAGTGTTATTAGTGGCTTTGGAATGTAAAGTTGGTGTTTATTTTTTCATTACATTTATTGTTGTAAATAAACTTGATTTTTTAAAAGTCTCACCACGTATATTCAGTATCTATATGTATGGATTTACATGTCTCTGAACAATATAAGAATGAAAAATGTCTGAATCTCATTTTAGAAGTTGTAATATATTGTATAAGTTAGTCAGGAAAAGACAAAATATCAATATAGCAGTTTCAAGTATTCAAAATACTTACATGACTTAGGACAGTTTGCATTTATGACATAGTTTCTTCCTCCAGTATAAGTGCTGAGGAATATGTTAGGGAGACCGTTCTACTTAGGGCATAACCTGCTCTAAATTGGCTACTGTGAGAATAGAATGCTGGACTAGACAATTCCTTGGAAGAATCCAGGAGAGCTGTTACCTTCTTAACTAGAGGTGCCTAGTGAAGTTGAGCTGATGTGAAAGCTTTGTGGGCAGCCCAAAGAGTAGTTGTTATGCATTTCAACCATTTTGGTGACACAGCTCCTCCTACGGTATCCTATTGTATTATATTACAGTGATCTGAATATAAATGTTTAGTTTCAGTTGCAACTGGCTGATATTTAAACCTTAATTGGCACGTGGATTTGTAGCTCCACTCCCATCATTTATTTCAAGACCCCAGGAAATAAGCTACTTATATTTCTGTTGCTTGGTCCTGGGACATCAGTAATGGTTCCATATCGGATGCTGTCACTACCCTTGTACAGACATCTTGTTTAATCCAGTTCCTGTACCCATTTAATCTGTTTAATCCCTGCCATTCCCTGCTTGGGTGTTTGCCTTGACTCTTTGTTGCTGACACAGTTGCTGAAGCATTTGAAGCGATGCCTCCTTTATATGAAAAGTTTGACATGGTAGAACAGAGGACAGTGTGAACAGTGTTTGCTTAATTTTACATTTTGTATTTGAATATTGATTTGCCACCTTTTCTATGTCTTCATGTTAATTTTTTTTTAGATCGGTAGCTGAAATAATAAGTTATGACTTGGAGACTAATTCCAGTCTATGTGTTTTCAACTTCATTTTTCCTTATGCCCTTCAATATACATATAACCCATTTTTTTTTTCAAACATTCTGCCACAATTCCTGAGATTTTTTTAAAAAAAAACTGAAGTAGAACTATATAGAGGATAGACAAGTCTTGCTATAATGCCAAAGACAGTCTCTCCCATATGCAAGTGATTGCCATTTACTTTCCTCGAGAGGAAATGAGGATTTCAGAAAACATCTTGTCATAAGCTAAATTTGTCCATCCTTCTGTAACATTGGGTACTCTAGGTTTCATTAACAGTTTTCCTTCCATGTGCACTTTTCCCATCATAATGATGGATGTTTTTTTAATATGTGTCTAATAAGTATATTGGAGAGAGGTGGGGTGAGAGATTCTTGGGTTTCTGTGATCATGTTAAGTCCCAAAGGACTTCCTTTAATTCTGTTATTGCCTACCTTTTCCCCTAGATAGCAACTTTGTGTTTAATCAAATAGTATTTCTAGTAACAGATAACTAAATTAAGTATATTACAAAGTTGCATATTTATATTAAAGATTATTTCTCAATCATCTGTATCATGGTTGGTCCTCTAATTTAGATCTCCCCTTATTTTTTCAGATACTTAACGCTTCAAAAAGACTGTCCCTACATCAGGAGGACCAGCCTAAACCATATTCTACCCAGTGGCAGCAGATGTTTGTTAGAGACTTTCTGTGACATAATTAATGGAATTCAGTAAATTAGTGGTGGGTGGTAAACACTAAAAGGTGTTTCACAAGTGACTTTATAAGACCATTCCATTTAGAAATTCCATTTTGAATTCATTTCTCATCACTATTAATATGGTATAAAAATTTAAAACCTTTTTGAAAGCACATAATATGCAGAGCAAATTCTTTTCTTAAAACAATATAAGAAATGCAAAAGACTGTCACTTCTGAAACTTCCTAAAAAACTGAAGGAATACATAGCACAGTTGACCTTTTAGTATGCCAATCAATTTTAGCATTTATTTAGAATCCTAATATACACTTTTAATTTTTTTGTAGCATTTAGTATACAACATGTTTTTTTAAAATTTCTCCCCTTATTAGTGGACAGTTGTATCTGAATCTTATATGTGGTGTTCACATAATTGTAAATATGCTATTTATGATGAAACAATAAATTATGGACATAATCCGATTTTACAAAGTTTAAACATGTGATCGAAATATTTACATATATTTACATGCCTTATGGCCAACACTAGTGAAATAGGACTGTGAAACAATTTTGACTTGGACTTCTACATACTAACTTTGGATGCCGTTATTTATCTGACATTTAACTCAGTATATGCAGATAAAGCAAATACTTTAATCATGGACCTATTCCAAGAGGATCACTAAATATATTTTTCACATTTTTTATGTTTTGATGGACTGATTCTTCTAATGAAACTTTAATATTAAAGCACAAGAGTTTTCTTTTTCCTTTTGGCCTCAATATTGTCTCTGCTACAGTTTCAATAAACTGCCAGCCAATTAGATATTGATATTACATAAGTGATGTCCTTGTAACTTCTTATAATAATAGAACTTCTGGAATAAATAAGATTATTCAAGAGTAAATGATTTTAGGCTTACAGTTTAATTATTAGTGCTGACACATGCTTTACCAAAAATTGTTCATTACATACATTTCTTAATAAAATACTTATTCTGCTTACAAATTAAGGTGAATATTAACTGAGATAGTGTGTTAGAGAATTGTTCCTCAGTGCTGCTGCATAATTTAAAGGTATCCTTGCTTTGAAAAAATAAAAAGCAGTTACATTTCAAACTGAGATATTGGTAGGAAATACTTACATATCATTTGAATCTTTGAGAGTTCACTAGAACAGCAGTAGAATATGTGGCTTGTATACTTTAGGTAGAGAATGGATTTAACTTGATTTAAAAAAAATAAAAATAAATGCAGTGCATTTTTATTATGTTGAAATCCAAGATACTAAATAAGGACTACATAGTTTGAGTGTGTATGTAGTGCATATCAGGTATTTCTGTGCGCTTGTTCTCTTCCTCCCTCAGATCCTTCATCTATGCATGAAGGATCTTCCATAAGCTGTAACAGCCTATTCATTGTGTATATACAGGCACTGTGGCAAATGAGAACACTCTGCTGGAAGGATTATGCCATATTCATTTATAATAGTTAGGAAACAATCTGTTAATGCAAATTAAGGCAAAGTGTTATTCTTCATGGAACTAAAATTGCATATTTCTAAATGACAGCAATACTTTTTATAAAGCCATATTTTTAAGAATAATTAAGATTATTTTGGGTGAAATAAATCACATTTTTGTACAACAACTCTGTATTTTTCAAATGCTGGGATAAGATGATTGTGCTGTGATCATATTTTCTGTTATATGACTTTATGATTTTCTTGTTTACATGAGCGTGCCATGGAGTCAAGGTGAAGGGGACTATTAAAATATGTACCTTTTCTTCTGTGTTAACATTTGCTGCAATAAAATACAGAAGAACTTTTCATTGATGGAGTCATTATTTTCAAAAATATTGACATGTACTTTAGTGATTGGTCATTAAATCATTATAAAGCTCAGAAAAAAATCAGGAGAAAGGCATTGCTAGAAACAATTCACGGAGCCCATAAGAAAAATAAAACATAATATGGTATTAACTGTATTACTGCCATAATATGCCTTGACCTGTATTGTACTAAGGATATAACTGAAACTGATATTTAACATATTAGGACCATTTGCTTCATATGGACATTGCAGAGACTTGTGGCATAAAGGCTGATAGGTACCATGACATCATACATCAGTCTTTAAGGTTGCTGCACAAAATTCCTTGCATGTGCTATAGAAGTGAATCTAAGTAACCGTTCCTGAATTTGCTTCACAAACTATGTTAATTATTTATAGTGTTTTGGCACTAAACTTATCTCAATTGTTCACCGATAGGCAGTTTGGAAAATTGCACATTAATTTGTGTCTTGAATAACAAATGGCCTCTCCCTAACAGTGGTATAATGATCTCTTTAGAACTAACAATGTTGAAATCATATAAAGCAGGTCTATGCAAATCATGCAAAATCCAATTCAAATCATCATTTTGATTTGTAAAATTGATCTGATTCAACAACAAATCAAAAAGATTAAGAAATTTGATTTGACTTGATTTGGATAATCAGATCAGACTGATTTGATTTAGATTCTGAATTGATTCAGAAAAAGTCATTTCTGCATATGTGTTGAAATTTCCAAAATAGTCAGAATGGAGTCAATATTCAGACAATTTAAATGAACTTCCTAACTTGTTTCAGAAATGTGATATGATTAACATCAACTTTCCAAACTGATTACAGCTTTTTAAAACTGCAGATAGCAGATATGCTTTTAAATAGGGAAACTGATCAAGACTGCTATTCCATCTGGAAAGAAAAAAATTAACTCAATACGAACCTTGTTTAATCCCTGTGATGCCACTAATAAACTTCTGTAGTTCCCAGAGAGAAAATATGAAAGTTTTTGAAAACACTAGGCTTCAGGCAAAAATTTTGCCCTGAGAAGCAATCACATGGGCTTGGGACTTTAGTTAGAACAATGTGTGGGATATTATGAAAAAGAATTATAACTGGGGTAAATAATGCATTAAAAAACTTTGTTGCCTGAAACTTCTACCCATACAAACCACTGATCTAGAGTACATTAGAGCTTTTTACAGTCTGTTAGAATATTTTAAAATTCCTGTGGCACCAAAAAAGCCAATTGGCTTATTACTGTATAAATATGTACAGGAAAAGATTTCCTTCTTCAAAGGAATTACATAATTCATTTTGCATCTATGGGGAACCTTCAATGAGGAACGTTGTTTGCAGATGTGTTGTGATTCTTGTTGAGCTGATGATGGTGATGGTACTTGGTGTCACCTCAAAGCCTCAGCCAGCAGTTCCTGTAGCCAGCAGGCATATGTGCTCATGCTTTACACATGAGCACATGCTCATGCTTTACACATGCAGAACCTTTTTCCACCTATTGGTGCTACCAGGGGAAGCCTCAGAAGTGAGGCAAAGCAAAGCAATGCAGCCACTTTGGTATGAGAAGCTGAGGAAAGCACACTGCTTTTGGAAGCATTTCAAAGAGATGCTTTGCTCAAAGCATCATCAAAGCAAAGCAACCCATTTGCCCAGCCTTAATTAGAAGCACATTGATATTTTACTCTGAGCACATTATTGTTACATCCTATTGTATCTGAAGACAGTATTTTAATAATTCAGTGATGATGCAAAAATGAAATATGTACTTCATCTTGCTTTTAAAAAGGATCAGGTTGATAAGAAATCTGTTTACCTATTCCAGGACATGGTGAAAAAGAACCTCTCCAAAAAGAAAAAGGTAAGCGACTGAAAATAAGGAGGGTTCAAAAATCTAAAATTGCTGCATTGGTAAGGACATATTTGAAACAACATGGGAAATTAATGATCATATCTTTTAAAATACTTTGGATTTCTAAGGATATTCTAGGATTTTGTAGGAAAATGTTTTATCTATATAGTCTGTATAGCTACAAATCTCATCTTCCCCACTGGAAATGGCACTCGGGCAAATCCTAAAGACTTCTCTTGTCCCCAGTATGTCATTCAGACTTCCTGTTTTCCCACCTTTTTTTTAAATTAAGGTTTGTTTCAGAAGCAGAAATATGACTTTTTTAATGTTTCTTCCAAGTTTTTTTTTTTAAAAAGGACTTTTTTAATGTTTCTTCCAAGTTTTTTTTTTTAAAAAGGACTTTTTTAATGTTTCTTCCAAGTTTTTTTTTTTAAAAAGGACTTTTTTAATGTTTCTTCCAAGTTTTTTTTTTTAAAAAGACTCAAGAATTTTTTAAAAAAACCCTCCCTGTTCAAGTCAAGGCCCATCTTAGGCCAGCATTTTTTTTTCTCACAGTGGCCAACCAGATGCCTGCTGTGTGTCACAAGCCATTGTTCCACTGCATTTGGGATTTAGAGGCATGCTGTTCTCATGCTAAGAGAAAGAGAAAGAGAATCCTTCAAACTTATAAAGTGGGCCTATCATTAAATATATATTGCCCAAGATCTCCAGTTTTCTTACTAGTCTCATGCTGCATGAGTTGAGACAGCTACATTTTCCATTTAAAAATAAAGTGGGGAAGAGATGAAGAGCTGCTGTTTTAGCTGGCTGTGTTGGGTACCTTGTAATTTATTATTATAAATTGGTATTTTGATTCTGAACAGAAATATAGTAGGAAAAAAAGCCTTCTACTAAGTAGACTATTCCAGAGAAATAAGCAGACTTGTACAGAGGCTATCTTAAGATAGCAGTTTATTGGCTTTATATGGGGGGGGGGGGGAGGGGGAGAGAGAGGGGGAATATACTATGTGTGTTTGTGTATAAATACATGCATGCATGCATGCATACATACATACATACACATATACACACACAATATATATACAATATATATTGAGAGCGGTTTGGTCTAGTGGTTAAGGCACCAGGCTAGAAAGTAGGAGACTCTGAGTTCTAGACCTCTAGTCCTGCCTTAGGCATGAAAGCTGGCTGGGTGATTTTGGGCCAGTCACTCTCTCTCAGCCCAACTCACCTCACAGGGTTGTTGTGGGGAGAACAGGAGGAGGAAGGAGTATTAGGTATGTTTGCCACCTTGAGTTGTTTATAAAAATATGAACACCCCTTTGCTATTCATTACAACAGCCCACCGTTTTTTTAGACTTCCACATCAATTTACAAAAAAAAATTGCCTCTTCCTCAAGAGTTCCATTAACCTTTACGTGTGGACTCCTGGAAGTAGACAAACTTTTTTTTTTTTTTTTGCAGTCACACACAAGACAGGCTGCTATAATAGATAGTTGAGACTTTTTATTTGCATCAGAACCAAACCATTTCTTCTGAATACTTTTCAAAATGTACAGGAATATCATATAGTACTGGCCAATGTAAGAGTCTGTCATTTTTCCTTTTTGTCCAAAAACAGGATACCATATGGTGGAATGTGAACTCAATGTCCTGAAGCATATGGGTGTTCTTGGAAACAGTCCATGAAAATAGACCATCCAAACCTTGGGAAATGAGATCAAATTATTCTATTTTTTTTCTTTCCTGCATTTGTCTATGCAATCAATCATATTCAGCTATAATGTTGTAATAAGTACTCACTTAAAATACTGAAATACAGACGTGTTTAAATATTAAGAATAGAAGGACTAGCATTTAATCTTTCACACTACTATGTAGGGAACTAACTCCTCTGCAAATGCGATATTACAGTTCTGACAAAGCTGAGAAATATATGTGGCCAATAGCTTACAGTGGCTGTAAAGACTATTGTGTTTTGACAAATTTGTTTTAACAGTTTTAGTCAGAGATGAGTTTTGGGATTCTGGTTAAAACTTTCTACAATCCATCTCATCAGCCACAGTTGTCTTGATTTCTATAAGTGTAAGCACTTAAGTGTGCTTGTTTTTTTCAAGACTAGTTAACAGTTTACCATACAGAAGTGTTGGAACCCAAAAAGTATATTATTCTTATTTCTTGATGTAATTGTTTCAGTATTAATATTTGCAGTAGAGACTCATAACCTGAAATTCCAGGACTGGGTTTGACCTCCAGAGCCCCTCCAAAGGGAGGAAAAAGAAGATACTAAATACAGTACACAAAAAGTGACCATATTAAATTCATTAATTTATATTTTAGTACATCAAAATTATTTTTTGTCTTTAACCTACCCACTGCTTGGAGGGGGGGGGGCTTTCTTACTGCTTTGAATTTTTTGCTTATGGTGATTACTTATGTGTATGTTGAGACCCCCACCCCAGCCAGCACTTAAAAAAAAAATGAATAAAATCTGCAGCTCTTCTACCTGCAGCATCTGGAATGATAAAAACCAGAGAGCTGAAGGGAATGGCAGAGATAGGGAGAGAGACCCTTGGAGGTACCGGAGCAGGTCTGGGGCAGGGAAGGAAGAGACAGAGAGAGAGTGGGGAAGCCGAAGCCGATACTAATTCACAATTTCTACTTTGCAAATTATTATGGATCTAAAGTGTATGTTTCCTTCCAATGGTTTATCATAGCAGAGTTCCTGAGTTTCCCTTAAGGTAATTTCAGTATTACTGAATTTGGGGAAAATTTTGTTTTCTCTTTTTCATTTTGTTTTTCATAGTAAAGAAGAAGAAACCAAAATTGCTCAATAAATTTGATAAAAACATTAAAGTTGAACTTGATGCTGCAGAAAAACTGCGCAAAAAGGTAAATTTAGTTTGCAAAATTAAACTGCAATTTAATGTGTGTGTGTGTGTGTGTGTGTTTCCACGCCCATGTGTGTATCCATCCATCCATCCATCCATCCATCCTCTGAATGTTACTGAATTACTTTTTCCTTACTCTTTCTATAACAGTTGTTCTATGTTCACTAATGTTTTATATTGACCCATAAATACTTCAAATTGTGTTGATAAGCAACACCTATTTTGTAACGAAGTGCATCTAATAGGTTATTTTACTTAAATAGAGGACTGGGTATTCTGCAAACCAAAGTACCAACCTTTGCCGTCACTTTTCTTTAGATGAATGCCTCAGGAACCTATAGGCATTTTGGAAAATCATAACAAGTGGGTATGGATCAGTGCTTTGTTTAAAAGTGTCCCCACCTGCCCAGAAAAACGATGAAAGTTAGCTATGAGTGATTTAAAAATAATAATAATGGGAACCATTGCCCCCCAAAATTGGGACAATTGGGACTATTCAGCTTTAATGTTGAGGAAACACAGAAATGCAGAGGTGAAACAAGCATACATACAGTTCCATAAATTATTGCCAACCTTGTTGATTTTTTTTCGCATATTTGCATACCATTTCCTAGCTATGGCTCTCACAGGGGTATGTTAAGTCTTCTTTTTTGATGCCCTTCATGAACATGCATCATGCCACATTGCTAAATTAATTGCTAGTAAACACTTCCTCTTGAAAAAAGGAGTGTGAGAGTGGGCATTGGCTTGGCAGAAGTGTTTAAATATCACCAATCATTCATCGACATGACAGTAATTGACAGACAGCCAATAGAAATCTATCTTGTGTTCAGAATGACGTTTCTACAACTATATTTCTTTCTCATGGTTTCAAGTAGGTTTTTTATAATCTATAATACACATAGTTAACTACAATATCAATGAACAATACAATATTTCAGGATTAATTCTTACGATTGACTTAAAAAAATAATGAAATGTCCTTAGGGATTTTTCTTAGTATTTTAGCTGAAAGAGGATTTCTGGTGACAAATGGCTCATGTTAATTTCTTAACATAGTGATCAGAAATTGTTCAGAGATAATCCCCTCTTAAATAATTATATTTTAAACACCTATCTAGGGCTATTTAATTTTCCCTAGGATATTCATTTTAAACCCAGGAACTATGGAATGTTGTTTTCTTCCCTGAATTTATGCCATTATTTGTATTTCTTTTAGCAATATTTTCATAATGGATTTGTCATAACATCATTGTATCTGTTCGTAAAATTGTACATTATATCTTATCTAAGTACAAAATATTCCACCACCCTTCTCTAGCACTGTAGGCTGTGTTTCTTTCCCCAACTTTTTGCCACCTGTACGTATTGGGTTTCAGTATCTATATTTCCTTGTTTGGGCATTGTGGGAGTTGGCATCCAACATATCTGAAATGTGCTAGATTGGAGAAGGTTGGTCTTTTTACCACATATTCTTACAGTAAGCTTTCACAAAAGACTCCTCAGCATTCTTATTCTTTGTGTAAATAATAATTGTAAGGATTTCCATGCTTGTATTTATGGCATATTACTTCAGATAATGCTGTCTGACTTCCAGGGAAAAGCAGAAGAAGCTTTAAAGGCATTTGAAACTTTGGTAAGCAAGTATCCCCAGAGTCCACGAGCAAGATATGGAAAAGCCCAGGTAAAAATTGAACAAGAAAGCAAACAGTTGTGCATGGAAAGTCAAATCGTGGTGTATCTTATTACTGTACTGTATATACCCAAGATTTATTACTGGTTACAAATACATTATAAAGTATTGATATACTGTATTAGGAAACAGCCTCTGATTTCAAATCCTATCAGTTACTTTATTCTTTAAAATATATAGGGAAAAATGCAAATCCGTCTCATAGGTTATAGTGAGAGACTAAAGGTACATTATTTTATTGTAACTAAGTTGATTGGAATTTTACAAATGCTTAGATTGAAGATCTCCTCAGAACTGAGAATATGCTTCCTTTCTTTAACAAGTACAGTAATCAAGAAATTATATTGATCAGAACTGGCAAAATAAAAGTACAGAGAATAGTGAAATATTGGAATTTAGTGGCCAAATTGTAGCATGGCATGAAAAGGACCATGGCAAGAATGACCTTTTTTGACGCCAAAATGTGATTTTGGAAGAAAACATTCCTATAAAAGTGGGACTAGAGGAGGACAGGGGAACTTAATAAATGGTTAATGATTTTTCTCAATGTTAGTTTGTTTCCATTGTGTCATATTGAAAATTATAATTCACTACTAACTTTTGTGTGGATTTGGGAGCAAGCCCAAGTTTCCAGGGTTGGTATGAACATGTAGCCATGATTCTGCAAGTTATGTACCTCTGGATTTCTAAAAGGAAGAATGGAAAATTGCCTTACTGGTTCTTCCTAGCAGAGAATCACCATTGGATCATTTTGTGAATGAGAATAGTCCCGTTTGAACTGAGAGAGTTGTGTGATAGCTGGTCTTATCCAACAATGGTGCAGTTAACAGCAAATGATGACAAAGATTAGATTGCAACAGAAGAGAATATATGTAGCTCAGGGTTGAACTGTGGAGTCCTTGATGCTCTCTGAGCTTGGTTGTTCAATTGCAGACATTTCATTACCCAACTAGGTAATATCATCAGTGTTACTGGGTTGGGGTTTGCTCCCTGTTTATATATAGTGCCAGTGTTGGTGGGCATGTGGTCTTCTCCTTGGTAGTTCCTCTTAAGTAAACCAAAAGACCCAGTAGGCCATGAAGAAAAAACAGAAGTCATCTACAAGATACAGTGTAAAGACTGTAACAGCCACTATGTAGGACAGACAGGCAGAAGACAAGCAGAGCACATCCATGAACACCAACTAGCAGTCAGAAGACACGATGAAAACTCCTTAACCTCACAACACATGGACAGATTTAACCATAGTTTCAACTGGGAAACTGTGAACATCCTAGACCAAGCTAAATCCAAAAACGCTAGGGAAATCCTGGAAGCTTGGCACTCAGACACATCAGTCATCAATAGACACACAGAGATAAACCACATTTACACACCATTCAAAAGAGACTAAGAAAGCTAAGAAGGAAACAAAAAGACCAGAACACATCCTTTCCAACAGCCTACAGGCAGATAACCAGGGATTGATACCAAACAAACAATCAAGCAGAAAACAACACCTTAATCAAACAACTACCAAGGAGAAGACCACATGCCCACCAACACTGGCACTATATATAAACAGGGAGCAAACCCCAACCCAGTAACACTGATGATATTACCTAGTTGGGTAATGAAATGTCTGCAATTGAACAACCAAGCTCAGAGAGCATCAAGGACTCCACAGTTCAACCCTGAGCTACATATATT